TCTAGAATGCAAATCTGATCATGTCTTTCTCCAAAGCATCCTTAAGTCCCCCCTAGAGCAAGGTATCAGCTGTGAGCCAGATAGACCCAAGTCAGAAAACCAGCTCAGCTACTTACCGATGGGGTAATTTGCCTTCTCTGAGCCCCTATTTCCATTACTTACAAAACAGGATCACTCTCTCCCTCATGAAACGTAGCTATTACTTAATAAGTTAGGAAACAAATGTATGGACCCAGACGGCCATGGTAGGTATTTCCCAGGTCAGAGTAACAGCTGACTTAGTACTCACTGTGTGTCGGGCTCAGCATTTTAGACGCCGTATCTCATTTAGTCCCTTACCACAGTCCTATATAATGTAGGTATTTTTATTACTAATATCATCTCCATTTACAGACAAGGAAATTGAGGTTAGAAGGAAAGGTTAGGTGATTTGTCCAAATCTCACAGCTATGAAGCGCTGGAGTTCATGTAGAGCCCGAGTCTGTACAGGGCTTACCCACTAGGCGCTCTGCATCACCTCCACGGTGGAGGCTGAACCCCTGCCTCTCGCCTCCCCTAGCGCCAGCTCTGCCCGCCGCCCACCGCCACCGGCTCTCTCTGCCCCAAAGCGCTCGCTCACGCTGCTCTCTTCGCGCAGAGTCACTGCTTCCTGCTCACCTCCCACCACGCTCACACGTTTCACCTGCTTTTCCTCAAGACCACCTTAAAACTACATTTTCTAAGGAGTTTTCCCAACCCCTTCAGAGACAGCCTCTTCCTCATTCTCTTGGGAGTTGTTCACAGGAGACTGCACATGCGCTTCCGTTGTAGAACTTACATTTGTCATTAGGATAAAGTAGGCGAGGTGACCTTACAGCCAAGCAAAGCTGAAACAGTCACACAGGAAGGCCCGGGAAGAACATGAAGAAATTTAGAGAAGGGTCAGAGGTCCATGGGTTTGGTGTATCATGGAAGTGTAATCGAGGTAAATTAATTATAAATGACAATGTGATGGTAAACGCCCGGCGTACAGTCTTACAGGCTGGAATGGACTGTGATGAACAGGTAATGTGCCATGGAATTCGGAGAACATGGGCTGCACGTGAGTCCCCAGGAGGGCATGCTTTGAAGTCCCTACAGGAAAAGTCCCTTTATAAATGAACACCCAACAAGTTCCTCTTATTATGAAAAGAATCACCCTGGATATGAATGGCCCAGATCTTGTGTCCACGGCACAGTCCCTGGTCACGAGTCATCCACACACTAAGAAGGGAATTCCAAAAGACCTGGGATGGTATGATCATTTCCTTAGTTGGCAAGGTCTTCAAACTCTTAAAGACTTAAAGTATTCAGAATGAAGTGATTCAAACCTTGATTAATATTTTATGTTAAATTAAGGAATAACCTGTGCATATTTGGTATTGAAAGTATTTGTAATATTTAAGAATTTGGCATTTAAGGGTCTAACAAATTCATCTTATGATTCCAATTTGAAACATACTTTATTAACTTAGATGTTGATTTTTAGGTTGAAAGGTACGAGAATTTTTCCAAATTTGTACACAGTATGAATATCAGTTTTAATAGCAATATAGTTAATTAGCTTTACTAGAATTGTTCAAGTATGTGACAAGGTTTTGTAAATTAGTTCTAAAACTTAACAGAAGAAAAGAATTTACTAAATTTAAAAATGAGCTCAAAATATCTAAGGAAATTTAAGTAACGAAATTGTAAGAACCCCTTAAAACCAATTTAAAGCTTAAATATTAATTGTATTTATTGCTTCAATAAATTATGTAATTTGAAATTTTCTATACTGATAAACTGCTCTGTAGGAAACCTAAAAATCTATACTGAGGTACAATAATGAGTGTTTATGTGTGTTTCCTGCCACTGAACTATTAACTCATCAAGTAGATCAAGTAGAAAGCATCTTCCTCCTTATATGCTTATCACCTAGCAATGCTGGAGCCCAGGCTGAATCCAGACTGACTTCAGGGCTGCATCTTCCCCTAACTTTCATGTTACTAGTTGAATGGATGAAATTCTTCATTGGGGGCTTTCGGCAGTGTTAATCGAGCTGAGAAGACAACATGTATGTGCTAGAGACATGGATATAAGTTGTCCCATGTGGACAAGTGAGCAAGAGAGAGAGTTTCCTGGGAAAAATTTGAGAAAAGGTTGTCTTCATTAAAAGACAGAACTTGAGGATTCTGGAGGCCAGGGGATAAGTGACAGAGGAGAAGAAAGCAGTTTGATTTCACTTAGGAGGATCAGGAAGAGTGCTCCCCACGTCACGACTGACTGGGAGGTGGCCCGGGAAACATCTCCTTCATGGTCAGTCGGCTGCTACAGCATTTTGACTTGGAATGGAGGCATAATGCTGGTTAACCCAGATTAAGCGAAATAATGTCCCTCAGGAGCCAAGGAAAATCCAAGAGAAACCTTTGGTACTGGTGTGAGGTGGGGGTGTGAGAGGGCAGGCGCAGGATGGCACAGAGGAATGGTGTGAGGGTTTGGCTGACTTGCCAGTGAAATGAAGCAGAAGCCACACTCAGTGGGTTATTGTGCTAATTTATGGCAAACCATGAAGGGTGCGGCTGTATTTTCATTCACCAGCTAAAGTGCGTGCCCAGAGATGCTCACGTGCCCTGGTAGCTCTGGACTTCCAGAACCTCAAACGTGTGCTCTACTGGGGGTGCACTGTGGGTGAATAGAAGTGAGGTGGGAAGGCTGGGCTGTGGTGTGCCCTGGCCTGGCTGACAGGAGGGCCAAGGGGAGTGGTGCGTGCTTTTGTTGCACAACTGTCAGGTCAGGTAAGTGCTGGAAATCTTGCACTTCTGCTCTTTCAGATTTTCAGAGCAAACCACAGTCACCTTGCCTGAACCCATCCCTCAGCCAGCAAGACAAGATTGCTGTGCACTTTTCAAAGATGTCCACAGTAGAGTCATGGCAGTTCTCAGCAGGAGTAGTAGAGCCCCCAAGGGAGCATCTGGGGAATCGCTTGGTCATCACAATGGCCCAGGGGTACCACAGGCACCTGGTGGGTGGGAACCAGGAGGGGCACTCATGGAAAGTCAGAGCACACAAAGGGCTGAAACTCCTCACATGACTTTCAAAAACCCACTGAGTCGTCTGAACTTAGAATCTGTTTTAGATAGAAGGGACTTCTGATATGGGTTTAGTATATGCTGTTTTCCAAGAATGCAATTACTCTATAAAGCTAAGGAGGATTATATTTTGCTTTGTTGTGAACTTTACAAGAAGTTGTTTACTAATTCAGAAGCTGACATCCTGCCAGTGCTCACGGTATGTAAGTGGCCAATACAACGCTGCCCCTCCCATATCAGGCCAGTTTCCTTTGGTGCCTATAGTGACTTCAAGCCAATGCAACTGACAACTTCACAATGCCTTCAGTGTGGTTGTGCTCACACATCAATATATGGAGAGTATGTGGGTTGTTTTATTATTTGTTGATATGATTTAATTCATTTACATGAGAGAAGGCACTATGTTTTGATTATGTTAAGTTGGTTATAATGGCTTTGACTTAAGGTATAGGTTAGTAAAGGATGCATTACAAAATACACAAGGGGACATTGGGCCAGACAGGACAGAACTATCCTGGCGGAATGATGACTTTAGAGAAAGTATATAGCATCATGAGTTAGGATACAAAAAGAACAAGAAACAGCATTGCTGGAACATGCAGATAGAAGATACTGTACATCCTAGAACGACTCTTCAAACCTGCCCACTGTGTGCCTACTCACTGGCTTATGGCCCAAAGGAATACCACATGTAACAAGAGGCATCTAAACTGAATTAAAAAGGTTAAGTTGGAGCTGAGCTGCACTCCTTTCCCTAGACACTGAGCTAGTTATTAGAACAGCCTGGCATGTCAACTACAAATAAAATTTCCTGGACCCTTTCTCCTGAGTCTGATTCAGGTCAGGGGGAGGTTAGGACTCAGCCACCTGACTGAACAACCCAAATCGCACTGCAAGGATGCAGCATTGCTGTACAGAGGGCCTTCCACGCTCATGTGCACAGAGCTCCCAGGGGCCCTGTAGGTACAGAGGCGCATTCACCAGGTCTGGGGTGGAGCCTGGGATCCCGCATTTCTAACAAGCTCCCAGATGATGCTGATCGTGGACACTTGAATAGCGCACTTTTGTCCATCTTAGGACAAAAGACTCTGGAGCACGCAGAGGACAGACAGGGAACTCACCTTCAACATCCGCATGTCTGTGTACAGATGGTAGGATGAGACAGGCATTCCTGTGCCTGAAAAGGGTTCCCATTGACGTCCCACCTTACAGACCAAAGGGCTGGGCTGCAGTGGCATGCAGTGGCCAACCTTGGGTCACCTCCAATGGCTTCCCCACAAATTACGGGAATTTTTAATCAAACTGTACCCGAAGGATTTGCCAGCACTAAGCTGTTCATTCAGATCTTGGTTGCATGGGATATTAACAACTTACACAAAAAGCCCTAATTCCTAAGCAGAGGCATTACTGGAGAGGCTGTGGCACCTCCTCTGCACAGGGAGAATCCACCTACACCCACGTGTCTGAACCCATCTGGACGCTGCCCTGCCAGCAGGGGCAGAGGCCTCGGGCGGGTCAGAGCTGAGCATGGGACCCGGGAACGTGAGTGGAGACTTCACATCTCCAATGTTCTTATGTGTGTTACTTTTTAAGTGTAGGCAGATGTTACTGAAGTAAATTTTTAAAAAATACCTTAAGTGTGAATAAATTCAGATTAGTTTTAAGATACTGTAATTTCCTCAATCAATGGGTATTAAGTCATCACAATACTTTTAACATTAAAAAAGGGTTCTTGTCTTCCAGAATATAGGCTAGAAATGGCTTGGCCTAGGGAAGCTAAAATCCTTCAGCATTTCAGAGAATAGGTGACATACATGCCATTATTAAATGTATATACATTAAAGCAAACTCTGAGCAAGTCCCAAATGGCTGAATTTCTCATTTTATAAATCAAGGAAGAAAATGCTGCTGCAGACTTTAATCTCAGATATTTTAATGGGGGATCTTATTCACTATGTACAGGATTCTCTGATGAAAGTGGGCTGGTCACTAGCCAGGTGACCCAAAACACCAAAAATCGAGGGCAGTTCAAGGGCCACTAAATGTTAACAGTCTTGGCTGGCTTCACATCTTCAATTTCAGAAGACAGCCAGCGGTAAGTGCGGTGACGTCGCAGCACCTCTATGGCCTTGAGCTCCAGGGGTGTTGCCTGAATACCGAGGTCCTCCAAGCCGGGCAGATGAGGCAATGTCATATCTGTGATGTGAACCTGTGAATAAACAAAAAACCACAGAGAGCTGAAAACCGGCCAGGACACGAAGTGCTACCTTAGCAAACACATCAACGCTCAAGCTGGCCTGGGTCCCATTACCGAGACTTAATCGTTTTCCAAGGAGACCTGGAAGTCACTCAAAGTAGACTCCAGGAAAGGATTTAAGGGACAGAGACAAGGCCAGGGGTATCAGCACACAGGTCCCAGCACTATTCGTGAGCACAGGACCAGCTCTAGGTGAGGCAGGGTACAGACTGAATCAGAAGTAAGCTCGGAGGAAGGTGCACAGCCGTCACGCTCACGGGGGCGCTGAGGCAACTCAGAAGTAAAATGGGGCGAGTGCAGGGCCAGCCCGCTCCCCAGCTCTCCCTTGGGCCTGCTCTCTGAGCACAGCTTTCTTCATCAGTTTTAACTGCTAAATTAAGGTGATAATTTGCATTTGTTCATTGCTCACTAAGAGATAATCCATTAACCTTTGTGCTCCAGTTCCACTTAACCTGGTTCACTAATGCTCACTCTAGGCCTAAATACCAAACCCATCTTGTTTATAGGGAAGGAGAATGACTAGACTTTCAAAGATCCCACATTACCCAAAAGCACACAGAGGGAGTTTGCGTACAGAGCAGCACCGATCCTCTGTCGTCACCCCTGGCAAAGTCGGCCGTTCTCTCACCAGGGCCATAAAGCAGTCTCCAAGTCCTACCCGAAGCCCACTCGGCCTACTGGGTCAACACTCCCTCAGTTATGAATTTAAGAGGCACGTGACTGTAAGATTCACTGACATATTCTGACAATTAGTTCTGCTGAATCTTTTGTGGACATAGAAGAAACACCTTGGAAACCGTCTCAGCTTTCCAGACAGGGCCTGTCAAAGGGAGGGTAATGGCTACCAGTTCACATCTCTTCCCTGAGGACTATTTTTCATTTTCCCTACATTTTAGCTTTTAGGTGACCTTCAGAGGACAATCTGGCTGCTTCTTGTGGATAAAAGGTCATTAGGTCTTCAAAGGTAGAGATGGTATAGTACTTTTATTTTGTATCCTCCCTAGAAATAATTCTACATGCAGTGGGCAAACCATCAGTGAGGGGGACGAGCGTGGGGGAGAGCGGGATGGAAGAGTGGGACTCGAGTCCACCAAACTGTAGAGGGAAGGAGGAGCAGGAGGCCCGGAGAGTAAGAAAGCAATGATCTGCCCACTTGGAATACAGTGGGTACAGTGGGGGCAATGAGTTCCCCTACTTTTCTTTGAGCCGAAAATTCTCAATACTTTCATAAGCATTTTCATAGTGAAAGGCTGAATAAAAAGGCAGGAAGAGGGAGAGGTAAGATCTGGCAGGTATTCTGAGGGCTTCTCCAATAATACTTGCTGGTGGCCTAGACCTACACTGTGCAATATGGTAGCTACTCGCCAAATGTGGGAATTTAAGTTTAAATTAATTAAAATTAGAATCCAAGTCTTATTTGTGCAGTTGCACCAGCCGCATTTCAGTGTTCAATAATCCCATGTTGCTAGTGGCTACGTTTGAACACAGTAGATCACAGAACATTTCCATTACTGCAAGTCATAGCGGGCAGTACTGGTTTAGGTCTGGACTGAGAAGGCAGAGGAGCAACTCAGGGGGATTCTTAGCTTCTGGGCTTGGGCAACAGAGAGGACTGATATCGTGAACTGAGATGAGAGAGGCTAGGAGTGAAGCAGATTTGCAGTTCTATTAATGGACATGTCATATTTCAGATGACTGTAATGTAACTAACAGACGTGAGAGTCTGCAACCGGGGTGGGGGACAATTCAGGGCTGGAGGTAAAGTGGGGGCCCAGGCAGCTGGGCATGGGGTTAGGTGAGGGTCATTTGGAGAAGCATCAAAGATAGAAAAGGGCTGAGGACACAGCCTGTGGGTTCCCCCACACTCAGAGACCAGGAAGAAGACAGTGAACCAGGAAGGGACTCTGAAAAGCATGGCCTAGTGAAGGAGGAAAAGCAAGAGAGCGCGGACAGCCAGAAGACAGGGGGAAATTCAGGGTTTCAAGACAGAGAGAAGGGGCCCCTCTGACAAATGCTGTTCACAGATGGTGTGCGATGGGGTCAAAGAACTGCCTGTGGGATCCCACGGAATGGAGAGAAGAGGTGACCATGAAATGCGCACTTTGGGGAGACAAATGGGAATAAAAGCCTAAATGGAGTGGGTTACAGGAAGAGTGAGGTAAGCAACTGTCAGCAGCAGGGACAGACAGCTCTTCTGAGGAGCTCAGGTGCAAAGGGACACAGACACCAGGGCCAGAGCTAGGACATGGCAGAAAGGGGGGGGTTGCCTTTAAAAATCAATGGAGCTCTTAAGGCATGTCTGCATGCTGATGGGAATGACCCCCTAGACAGAAGAAAATTGAAAATGTCAGAGAGAGGACGGTGGAGGAACCACACCCTGGGGCAGGCCGAGAGGGGACAACTTCAGTGCACAAGGGAAGGGGCTGGCCTTAGACAGAAGGAAAGACAGATAAGGGCATGAAAATAACCCAAGCAGCAAGCAAACAGAAATCAATTTGAACTTAGCATCCCTGCAGCTTTCTGCCCAGCATCCACCAGGCAGAGGGTCACCACACTTGGACTCACCCGCTCCACTTTATCCTTCGTTGTCCAGGGCTCAAATGGACTCATTTCAAAGAGTCGTGCTAGCAGTCTGGAGAAAGGAATCAATATGGTACATGTGGTAAGTGTCTCTATGCCCCACATTCAGGCTGGCCTATGGGAACCACAGGGACACAGGCTGCTGCTGACGCAGGAATCCACAGGGTACCTTTCTAAGAAAATTACCGACAACCACTTTTGAGTTAACCCAGCCAGACCTCTGTAACTGCTGGCACTCCTTGTTCTCCACCAAAGGGATGATGAATCTTAAAAATTAAAATAAAGCCACCACCACTGACAAAACAGATCCAACATTCAGTGAAATCTGTCAAATTTAATCTAATTCCAGCCTGAAACACCCAAATATGCTTCTGTTAAGGACCCAAGGCAAGCCGAGCAGTGTGCAAGAGATAAATCACAACCCTTAAAAGCAGGGGCCCCAAGGGAACCAAAACATCCCAAAGGAGAGAAGCCTAAGCTCTAAGACTCCAATCAGGAAGCAAATACAAACCCTAGAACAAGAGGGGCTCCTGCTCTGATTAATGCCTTTCCTCCACTCTCAAGAAAACTGAGTTTCTTTATCTGTCATCAAGTTCCTCACTTAGGTATCCTCAGGGCAGTGGGCATTAGGCATCTGAGGTACCCTAGGAGTCCCTGGGGATCCCCAGAGAGGACTGGGGCAAAGGCCGGGAGAATAAGCTCTGGGCATCACCCATCATTACAGACCAGCTCTGCTTCTGTCTGATTGACCTAGTGGGCCTATATGTAAAAAGTCTCTGAATACAGGGTTCCACAGCTTTTTAAAAACTGGGAAAACATCCCAAGTCACAGAAGAAATGAAAAAGGAAGCCAAAGCCTGATCAGAAGCACTCCAGAACATAAAAAGCTTCTGATTGCAGACAACCTGTTCTGATGGCAGAAAAAGGCACTTTACTGGGCTCACATAGCTTAATAAAAACACCCTGTACAAACCTTCAACACTGTGCTCTGGTTCTACACCAATCGATTACTTCTGGTGTCTACACTAGTGTCCCCTGTGGGCCATGCCATGTGCATATGCCAAGTCCACTCTAATTCTGAATTTTCTGCACACCCAGGGAAGCAGCTCCCAGCAATGCAGCTTACACCCTCTGCTGCATGGGAGCCACTGCCACAATGCCGTATTAACTGTGGATGCTTTTTAGTCCTGTATCTTATCTGACTTTTCTGCAGCATTTCACTCCACAAATATTAACAAAGTGCCTACTGTGTGCCAAGCATTGCATAACATGCTGCAGATACTGATGTGAACAAACAGCGATGCTCTCCTCCAAACAGTCACCCCCTCCTTAGAACATCCCTCCCCGCTGGTGTCTAAGCTTCCAGTCTCTTCCTCTTCACTTAAAGGACTGATGACCTTCTTCAGTCTCTGATAAATTTCCCGTACTCTGCTCGTCCTGTAAGTGACAGTACTCCTCACACTTGTCCTCAGTTCCCATCTTCTACGCACACCCCGCTCCTCCCCACCTACCTGAGTTACTACGAGTACCAAATGAGGACAAAGCAGTCTGGAAAATGGAAATCTCAATAAATAGTAGCATCATACTGCATTGTTTTTCTGACACCTCTGACAGATCACAAGCATTGTGAGGATTTACTGTAACTCTGAGTCCCCAGAGCATTGACTGAGACATAGTAGGCACCCAATAATTATCTAAGAATGACTGACTGAGCAAACAAATGAAGGAGGGAACTGCCCTGGTGGTTATTTCTTTTTTTATTATGATATACAATCTTACGAAGGTTTCACATGAACAACACTGTGATTTCAACATTCATCCATATTATCAAGCCCTCACCCCCTCCACTGTGGTCACTGTCCGTCAGCGTAGTAAGATGCTATAGAGTTATTGCCTTCTCCATACTGTACTGCCTTCCCCGTGACCTACCTATATTGTGATTGTAAATTATAATGCCCTTTAATCCCCTTCTTCCTCCCCATCCTCCCAAGCCCTTCCCTTTGGTAACTGCTAGTCCCTTCTTGGAGTCTGAGCCTGCTGCTGTTGTTCCTTCAGTTTTTCCTTTGTTGTTATACTCCACATATGAGTGAGATCATTTGGTACTTGTCTTTCTCTGCCTGACTTATTTCACTGAGCATAATACACTCTAGCTCCATCCATGTTGTTGCAAATGGTAGGATTTGTATCTTTCTTATGGCTGAATAGTATTCCATTGTGTGTATGTACCACTTCTTAATCCATTCATCTACTGATGGGAAAATTAGGTTGCTTCCATATCTTGGCTATTGTAAATAGTGCTGTAATAAACACAGGGGTGCATATGTCTTTTTGAATCTGAGATCTTGCTTTCTTTGGGTAAATTCCTAGGAGTGGAATTCCTGGGTGAAATGGTATTTCTATTTTCAGTTTTTTGAGGAACTGCCACATTGCTTTCCACAATGGTTGAACTAGCTTACATTCCCACCAGCAGTGTAGGAGGGTTCCCCTTTCTCCACATCCTTGCCAGCATTTGTTGTTCCTTCTCTTTTCGATGTTGGCCATCCTTACTGGTATGAGGTGATTATCTCACTGTGGTTTTAATTTGCATTTCCCTGATAATTAGCGATGTGGAGCATCTTTTCATGTACCTGTTGGCCATCTGAATTTCTTCTTTGGAGAACTGTCTGTTCATATCCTCCGCCCATTTTTTAATCAGGTTATTTGCTTTTTGGGTGTTGAGGCATGTAAATTCTTTATACATTTTGGATGTTAACCCCTTGTCAGATAAGTCATTTACAAATATATTCTCTCATATTGTAGGATGCTTTTTTGTTCTGCTGATGGTGTCCTTTGCTGTACAGAAGATTTCTAGCTTGATATAGTGTCATTTATTCATTTTTGCTTTTGTTTCCCTTGTCTGAGGCGATGCGTTCAGGAAAAAGTTGCTCATGTTTATATTCAAGAGATTTTTGCCTGTTTTCTCCTAAGAGTTTTATGGTTTCATGACTTACATTCAGGTCTTTGATCCATTTCAAGTTTACTTTTGTGTATGTAGTTAGACAGTAATCCAGTTTCATTCTCTTACATGTAGCTGTCCAGTTTTGTCAACACTAGTTATTGAAGAGATTGTCATTTACCCATTGTATATCCATGGCTCTTTTATCGTATATTGACCATATATGCTTGGGTTTATATCTGGGCTCTCTAGTCTGGTTCCATTAGTCTATGGGACTGTTTTTGTGCCAGTACCAAATTGTCTTGATTACTGTGGCTTTGTAGTAGAGCTTGAAGTCAGGGAGTGTAATCGCCCCAGCTTTATTCTTCCTTCTCAGGATTGCTTTGGCTATTCGGGGGCTCTTGTGGTTCCATATGAATTTTAGAACTATTTGTTCTAGTTTGTTGAAGAATGCTGCTGGTATTTTGATAGGGATTGTATTGAATCTGCAGACTGCTTCAGGCAGGATGTCCATTTTGACAAAATTAATTCTTCCTATCTATGAGCACGGGATGAATTTCCATTTATTGGTATCTTCTTTAATTTCTCTCATGTGGGTCTTGTAGTTTCAGGTCTTTCACTTCCTTGGTTAGGTTTATTCCTAGGTATTTTATTCTTTTTGATGCAACTGTGAATGGAATTGTTTTCCTGACTTCTCTTTCTTCTAGTTCATCATTAGTGTATAGGAATGCAACAGATTTCTGTGTATTGATTTTGTATCCTGCAACTTTGCTGAATTCAGATAGTAGATCTAATAGTTTTAGAGTGGATTCTTTAGGTTTTTTTATGTACAGTATCATGTCACCTGCAAACAGTGACAGTTTAACTTCTTCTTTACCAATCTTGATGCCTTTTATTTCTTTGTGTTGTCTGATTGCCATAGCTAGGACCTCCAGTACTATGTTGAATAGAAGTGAGGAGAGTGGGCATCCTTGTCTTGTTCCTGATCTTAAAAGGAAAAGCTTTCAGCTTCTTGCTATTAAGTATGATGTTGGCTGTGGGTGTGTTATATATGGCCTTTATTATGTTGAGGTACTTGACCTCTATATAACCATTTTGTTGAGAATTTTTATCATGAATGGATGTTGAATTTTGTCAAATGCTTTTTCAGCATTTATGGAGATAATCATGTGGTTTTTGTCCTTCTTTTTGTTGATGTGGTGGATGATGTCGATGCATTTTCAAATACTGTACCACCCTTGCATCCCTAGAATAAATCCTATTTGAACATGATGGACGATCTTTTTGATGTATTTTTGAATTCAGTTTGCTAAAATTTTGTTGAGGATTTTTGCATGTATGTTCATCAGGGATATTGGTCTGTAATTTTCTTTTTTGGTGGTGTCTTTGCCTGGTTTGGGTATTAGAGTGTTGCTGGCCTCATAGAATGAGTTTGGAAGTGTTCTCTCCTCTTCTACTCTTTGTAAAACTTTAAGGAGGATGGGTATTAGGTCTCACTAAATGTTTTATAAAATTCAGTGGTGAAGCCATCTGGTTCAGGGGTTTGTTCTTAGGGAGTGTTTTGATTAACAATTCAATTTCATTGCTGGTAATTGGTCTGTTCAGATTTTCTGTTTCTTCCTGGGTCAGCCTTAGAAGATTGCCTTTTTCTAGATTGCCTTGTCCATTTCTTCTAAGTTATCCAGCATTTTAGCATATAATTTTTCATAGTATTCTCTAATAATTTTTTGTATTTCTATGATGTTGATAGTGGTTTTTCCTTTCTCATTTCTAATTCTGTTTATGTGTGTAGACTCTCTTTCTTCCTAGGTAAATCTGCAGATGTCTGTTAGATCCACCTATTCTAATGTGTTGTTCATTGCCTTTGTCTCCTTACTTATTTTCTGTATGGTTGATCTGTTCTGTGGAGTGGTGTGTTGAAGTCTCCTAAAGTGAAAGCATTGCATTCTATTTCCCCCTTTAATTCTGTTAGTATTTGTTTCATATATATAGGTTTTCCTGTGTTGGATGCACAGATATTTAAAATGGTTGTATCCTCTTGTTGGACTGACTCCTTTATGATTATGTAATGTCCTTTCTCTCTTACTTTGTTTTGAAGTCTATTTTGTCTGATACAAGTAGTGCAACTCCTGCTTTTTTTCTCCTTGTTAGTTGTATGAAATATCTTTTTCCATCCCTTCACTTTTAGTCTGTATGTCTTTGCGTTTGAAGTGAGTCTCTTGTAGGCAGCATATAGATGGGTCTTCTTTTTTATCCATTCAGTGACTGTATGTCTTTTAATGGGTACATTCAGACCCTTTATATTAAGGGTGATTATCGATAGGTATGTATTTATTGCCATAGGTGTGTTCAGGGGTAACTTCTTACTATCTAACAGTATAATTTAACTCACTTACTATGCTGTTAGAAATACAATCTATAGGTTCTTTTAAAAAAAATTTTTTCCCTCCATTTCCTTCCTCCTCCATTCTTTATATATTAGGTACCATATTCTGTACTCTTTGTCTATCCCCTGACTGAATTTGGGGGTAGCTGATTTGATTTTGCATTGGTAATTAATTGTTCTACTTTCTTTACTGTGGTTTTATTTCCTCTGGTGACAGCTATTTATTCTCAGGAACACTTCCATTTATAGCAGTCCCTCCAAAATGCACTGTAGAGATGGTTTGTGGGAGGTAAACTCTCTCAGCTTTTGCTTATCTGGAAACTGTTTAATCCCTGCTTCAAATTTAAATAATTGTGCCGGGTAGAATATTCTTGGTTTGAGGCCATTTTGTTTCACTGCATTAAATATATCATGCCACTCCCTTCTGGCCTGTAAGGTTTCTGTTGAGAAGTCTGATGATAACCTGATGAGCTTTCCTTTACATGTGATCCTTTTTTCCTCTCTGTTGCTTTTAATATTCTATCCCTATCCTTGATCTTTGCCATTTTAATTATTATACGTGTTGGTGTTGTCTTCCTTGGGTCCCTTGTGTTGGGAGATCTCTGCACCTCGATGGCCTGAGAGACTATCGCCTTCCCCAGATTGGGGAAGTTTTCAGCAATTGCCTCCTCAAAGACATTTTCTATCTCTTTTTATCTCTCTTCTTCTTCTGGTACCCCTATAATGCAAATATTGTTTCATTTGTATTGGTCACACAGTTCTCTCAATATTCCTTCACTCCTAGAGATCCTTTTTTCTCTCGGTGCCTCAGTTTCTTTGTATTCCTGTTGTCTGTTCCATTTACCATCTCTTCTACTACATCTTACCTGCTTTTAAATCCCTCCATTGTATGTTTCACTTCAGATATTGCATTCCTGACTGATTGAATATCAGTCCTAAATTTTACCCTGAGTTCTTAAATATTTTTCTGTACCTACATGAACATGTCTATTTTTATTTTGAAATCTCTTTCATGAAGACTGATGAGTTCAGTTTCATTTGGCTCTTTTTTTTTTGGTGTTTGTGGGATTTTGGTTTGAACCAGGTTCCTTTGATATTTCTTATTTGTGTATGGTGCCCTCTAGTGCCCAGAAGCTGTACTCTCTGGAGCTGCTCAGCCCCTGGAACCATGTCAGGGGTCACAGGGGAGGGACACTGGTGCCTGGGTGGAGGAAAGAGCTGTTTCCTGCTTCCTGGCTGCTGCGCCTGTCTCCACTGCCAGAACCAGCGGGCTGAGCACACAGGTGTTAGCCCCTGTGCTTTCAGTTTGTAACTGCTATGGGCAGGGCCTCTACCTGGCTGGCCTGATGTCAGTGCAGGGGCTGCTGGTTTGCGAGCCAGTGCCAGCTGCATATCATGGTGGGGGCGGGGGGCCTTGGAGCTGTGTAGCCAGCCAGGGGGATGGAGCACCTGAAGCTCCTAAAAGTTCCTAACCTGCTGGGCAGAGTGCACCCAGACAATTTCATCCACCTGTTCTTTCTCGTGAGCAGCAAGCTCTGTGCAATCCTTGCCCCTTTAGCATGCCTCTCGCTGTTAAGAAGTCTCTCGGGTTGCCCACCTTTCTTTTGTCCAAGAGTAGCCAGATGTGGATCCCCGTTTTCCACAAGCAGCTGGATTCTCAATCTCTCCAAGTATTCTGCCTGTCTTAGCTTCCCAACCCCACTAATCTCCAGAGCACCATGCAATGTATGTTCATGCTCCACAAGCAGATCTCTGCGTGTTCAGCAGTCCTAGGCCTCCACCAGCTCCCTGCTGTGCTTCTCTTCCTGCCGCCAGTGAGCTGGGGTGGGGGAGGGGCTTGAGTCCCACCAGATCACAGCTTTACTATGTTACCCTGTTCCATGAGGTGTGTTGTTTCCTCCAGATGTATGCAGTCTGGCACAGCCTTCTTTCCTGTTGCTCTTTTAGGATTAGTTGTATTAACTATATTTTTGTATTATATGTGGTTTTGGGAGGATGCCTCTATCTCACACAGCCATCTTTAATCTCAACCTGTTTTGCTTCGTTTTTATACTCCACAAATGTGTCAAGTCGTTGGTACTTGTCTTTCTCCGTCTGGCTTATTTCACTGAACATAATACCCTCTAGCTCTATTCATGCTGTTGAAAATTGTAGGATTGCTTTTCTTTTTATGCCTGAATAATACTCCATTGTGTATATATACCACATTTTCTTTATCCATTCATCTATTGATTGCCCTGGTGATTCTTAAGACAATCTCTAGCAAACAGGATGTGAAAACTGACCTGACCAGACCACTAGTAGGACATGATCACCCTGAGATCTAAACCTACAAAGGGAAGAAGTGAACCAAGCCAGGAAAGAAGAAAGGGCAACCTCAGGCCCTGTCAGTGTCAGCCTGTTCCTTCCCCCACTATGAGATCAGTCTGCTCCTTCCCCCACTATGTTGTCAGCCTGTTCTTCCCCAATTACATGGTAAGCAGCCTGCTCCTTCCCCCACTAAGTGGTCAGCGTGCTTCAATAAGAAAGGGGCCCTTTCCCACGGCTGGGTGAGTGCTATGGAATGAAGGAAACCTGATTGCTCTTTTACACAACCTGTGAGCAAGACATTTCTCCAAATGAAAACTAGTGGTTTCTAACTGGAGAATTTAAAGACTTGCAAATTTCACTTCTCAACACTCATTGTTTTTCTCCCCCACAGAATCTATGTTTCCCTTTGTTAGACACCCCTCGTTCTTTCCTGGACTAAGGACAGGACTTCAGGAGCAGCCGCTAGTTAGAGATTCAGAGATTTCACTGACATACTTTAATGGACACACTCCCTGTAGCCCTAAGTGAGAGCACCACCAAGTATACTTTGTTAGCTCTATTTCAGAAGGCCCAGAAAGAAGCACTTTACTTACTGATAGGCAAAACGTGGCAAAGGATATGGGAGGAAGGGTCTGTGAGCCACAGCAAAAATATATTGCACCAGGTCAAAAAGCACATACCGATTGGGCCTACAAAAAGAAAATTGACAGCTCTTCAAATGACTTGCTCCTTACAAATTTTCTTTCTTAATTTAACAAAATAATATTTTTTCTTATGAAAAAGGAAACATATGCAACATAGTAAATACAGATTAGCACAAAGAAAAAAAACCACCCATAATCACACCAAAGATAAAGTTAATACATATATATCTTCCTCATCCCTGTAGATACACACAATTTTTTTCTTTTTGTAAATATAAGGTTACACAGGTCAGCCTATTCTGTAACATCTTTTTCACTTAACATTAAATCACAATTTTCTGTTACTAAACATTCCAGTGCATGTCTAATGATTGCACATATTATGTTGCACATAATTGTATTTTACTAATTGCCAGTTTTGAGATATTAAAGCTAGTAAAACTATTTTTCCTTTATAAAATAATGTCTTAATGAACAGTCTTATAGTGCATATTTGTACTTATCTATAAATATGTATCTGTAATACATTCTGGAAGTGCAACTGGCTCAAAGTATATTTGGAAATTTTAAGACTTTTACTGAATTCTTCCAAACTACTTTCCAAAAAGGTTGTATCAATTTATATCCTCACCAAAAATCAGGTCATAGAAAATAAGCAAACAAAATTTTACCAATCTGCAAGGTAAAAAAGGTACCTCAACATTTTAATTCACATCATTTTAATACTAGAGTCTTTATATATTTTTGACCATTTACACTTCTTTTTCTTTCTTCCTCGAGTCCCTTTCTATAAATGATGTGAAAGAATCTTTTCTATTTTAATGATATAGTTGGAAATATCTTCTATTGTTTGTATCATGCCTTTTTAATGTTTGTTTTGTGGAACACAAATTTAGACATTTCATTTAATCAAAACTACTGATTTCTTTTACTTTATAGTTCGGTCTTACATTTTTATTTAGAAAATCCCTCTACAGTCTCCAGTGACATAAACTTTCAAATATTTTTCCTAATGCTTTTGTTTTTGTTTTTTTAACACATAAAATAAGTTCCTCCTGCAACACATTTTTGTATTGATATAAAGATGGAGCACCACTTGCTGAATAATTGCCCTGGTGACATCCTTTTCCCATATAAGTGTCACCCACATCACATCCTGTATTCTTACATATATTTGAGACTATTTCTGGACTTTCTATTCTCTTCCACTGATCTGAATAGCTCTTTACTGTTATGACAAAGCTTTATTAATTATCACTGCTTATAACATATTTAAATATCTCTTCATCCATTTTCCTAATTCTTTTTGCCTCAGAAAACCCGGGAAAACTGACAGCTGAATGAAGGTGATATTTTCACCATAACAAAACAAAACAAAACAAAAATGTCAGCTAGGGGAACTATCAGACAAAGCTCCCAAATAGCTTCCTTCAAATTCCAGAAGGATGTAAAAGAATCATTACAGGCATAAAATATATGCTATGCCAAAGAACAATTTGTAATACAATGACAAGTGATGCTGGTATCATGGGTAAACTAATTATATGTAATACACTTGCTCTGCAGCTGTTCTAAAGCATTTTGTGTTCCATTAACTGTGACTCAAAGACTGCTTTTCATGTCATACCTAAAAAAGTGCCACTGCTCACAGAGAAAGCTATACTAAAGCCTGTGTCCCTCCCTGCTTGGACTTCATGGTTCAGCATTATAGTCTTTGTTTTTGCAAATAGCTTTAGCAAAACCTTGTGCCCCAGACCTGTCTCCACTACTCTAGCGCAGTAAAACTCCTAGTCTGGTTAACCCAAGTATCCACCTTCTTTGTGCCTGAACCCCCAGCAAGTCAGAGTTGTAGAGAAAATTAAAATACAACAGGGCTAACACCTCACCTTACATTTTTGATCACTGACTTCAAATGGGAGACTCAGTTCTGCTCTGTCACCTACTACACCCTCCTAGAAGTGCTCTTTTCCTGTCCTCTCAGGGAGTACTTCCCTATCTTCTGTCCTCAGGTTTTCTATGTAGTGCTCTGACCCACCCCACACTGCCTTCTAGCTGATGATCTCCTCACTTGTCCTTTCATCATGCTCTGAACGGTGTCTCCAGAAGTATAATTTTTGTACTTTTGATGAAATCTAATCTATCATTTTTTTCTTTTATGGAATATGCTTTTGATGTTATACCTAAAAAATCTTTACCTGACCCAAGGTCCAGAAAATTTAAAAATTTTCTCCCAAAATTTTTATAGTTTTAACTCTTATATTTAGGTTTCTGATCTACTTTGAAAATTTTTCACATATAATGCGAAGTAAGGGTCTGCATTCACTTTTTTTCATGTGGATATCTCAGTATCATTTGTTGAAAAGACTATCTTTTCCCCATGTGACCTTTGTGAAAAATCAATCATCCATAAAGGTTGATATCTAGACCATCAGTTCTGTTTAATTAATCTATATGTCTATTCTTAATGCCAGTTCCACACAGTCTTTCTAACTGTAGCTCCCAAGTTTTGAAACTGGGAAGCTTCAGGGCTCCAACTTTATTCTTTGTCAAAATGGTTTGGCTATTGTGGGTTTTTGAATTTAGAATCAGTTTGTCAATTTCTGCAAAAAGGTCTATTTCAATTTTCACAAGATTAAATTGAATACATAGATAAATGTAGGGAAAACTGCCATTTTAACAATAATGACTCTTCCAATCCATGAACATGAGATGTCTTCCCATTTATTTAATTATCTTTAATTTCTCTCAGCAATGATTTACTTTCAGTAGACAGGTTTTATATCTCTTTTATTAAATTTATACTTATGTATTTCATTGTTTCTGATGCTGTGGTGACAGGTCCTCAGCCAATTATGATGTGGATTTGGTGCTTTTCAATTTGGCAGATTTAAGTCATAGTTTTAATTCAGGAAAAGGGTCAGGGACTTAGCTGTGACAGGATTCAGTAATCCCAGGTAAGTCACACAGCTTACCTGTGCCCCATTCTTCCTGAAAGCAAATCTCACCAGAGAGGACACATGACAAGTGATCCATCTTGCACAGCACTAGTGACTGTACCCTAAACCAGCACCTCCAATCTCCTGGGGGCACTGGGAGAGGCCCCCAAAATAATTTCATTTTGCAATTGTACTTACTCCCTACAAGTGACCTATGTTTTAGAAGTTATTGTAATATCCTTTTATACATTAAAAACATCACTGGAACAGCATAAAACCATCCTTGGGGATCACTGGGCTAAGTATGTGTAATAGTCAAGGGCACTGGTTCTCAAATTTTGGGGACAGAAAAATCATTTATTAAAGCTGATTTCCAGGTTCCCTCAAATTCTGATTTAATGTAAGAATTCATAAAATTCTGATCATGGTGGCTTTTGGACAGTTCTTTGAGACACACTGGCCTCAGGACTAAAGGGAGTAAAGCTTCTTGAATAAACACAGATGAAGAGAGACACTGTAAAAAATGCAACAAATTAATCTGTTAGTGATGTATTTAAAAATTTATTGTTCTTGTAAATCAGGATAACCCTTTCATCTTAGCAGGGAGCACAATTTTAAAACTGAACTCTAGACACTTACCCAACAAAGGCAAAAGTTTTACCTCTGGCTTCTGAATCTTTAAGGGCATTAACAATTCCTTTGGATACATCTACAACCTATAAAAAAATCATAGCACATGTCTAAGTAATTGCTGAAAGAGAGAAACGAGAGATGGGGGAGAGAAAAGAGGGAGGAAGGAAAGCAGGCCACAGCAATCACAACAAAAAAGCCTGATACATTAAACAGCACTGTCCATTTCCAGAACGCCCCTTCAAGAACCCACTTCTGAAGAGCTTAAATAATCTGGAAGGCCTGCCAAGCACTGTCTCTAGTCAGAACACAGGCGTCTCCAGGTGGCTGTCAAGGCCTTTCTGGCTTGCCTCTGCCTGCAGTCTCTCCACTCTCTCCTCACATTACACTTCCTCTCCGTTACTGTGCTATCGCAAACTATGAGGCTGAACCACTGCCAATATTCTACCTTCCTGATTTTCAAAAATTACAACTTTATATCGTTTTGGACCTGATGATTTTCAGCTGGGGCTGATTCTGGCATCCAGGACACACTTGGCAAATAAATGCCTGGACACACTTTAATCATCCCAAATGGTGAGGCAGTACTACTGCCATCTGGTGGCCGGAGGCCAGGGATGCAGCTGAACATTCTATGGCAGCCCCTAAACAATTAGCTGGCCCCAAACGTCCACTGTGCCACCAATGAGAAACCCTTGTTCAACACAATATGGAATCCAACACACTCTCCACCTCTGGGCCCTGTACACACTGTTCCCTAGCATGGAACACTCTTCCCCAATCTCTTCCATCTGATTTGCTCCCAGCAGGTGTCATATCCCCTGGGAGGCCTTGCCTGGCCCTCAGGTGTGGATTAGGTGTCATTTTGATATAATTACATAAAATCCTTTCCCTGACACAGCAATTCTTCACATTGTACAGGTGCTTTGCTGACCTGCCTCTGACTGAACCCACCTTGAGAATAGCAATTGTGTTTGTCTACTTAATACCTCTACATGTCCAGTGACATGGACACTGTGCCTAGTTCATTAGGAGTTTGGTGCATTTTTTTAAATGAATGAACAAGTGAAAACTTAGAGAAGACATGCTCCACTCAGGTAAACTAAGAGGCAATCTGCTGGAGCAAGTTGACAAAGAAAAAATGACAGTTACAGGATTAGGATAAAACCAGAAAACTGAGCCTAAATCTGAATTCAGCCAAAGCCCTCCATCCAGGATACTTACACACACGGGCTGTTTCACTGTCTTCTTGCCCAAGGCAGTAAGAGGTACACCACCAAACCAACGAGCATCTGGCAGAAAAAAAGAGAACTATTCTTACCAGGTCTAAATTGCTGTAAGACCCACCAATCTCCAGCTCCTCCAGGTCAGCAAAGCACTTTGCATCATAGAAATAATGAAATAAATGTAGATGACTCTGAGGAAGCTGGTGAGCAGCCATTTGGTTTTCAGACAACACACATGGATGTAAAAAGGCCAGATATTTAAGGATATGGAGAGCAGGGGAAAGCAGTCAAATGGCTTGGCCACTTGTCTTCTATTCTACAATGCTAAACGCATGGCCCCTGCCAGGACTGGACTCTAACTGCACTCCATTCAGTGGAGTAACAGAGGAATCAATAAATCAGTGATACCAGAAAAAAAATGCTCTTAAAAGTGGAATTTAGTATATGATGAATGCAGTGTCATAAATATGTGGGAAATGGAAATATTATTTAATATATGTTGCTGAGACAATCATTCTATTTGGTGGCAAAAAAAACCCAAATGGCTCACATATCACCATAAACCAAAACAATTTCAAGTGGACTGACTGTAAAGATAAAAAAGCTTTCCCGAAAAATTTTCAAAGAACAAATTATTTATAAGAGCATCTAATAGAATAAAATATAGGAATAATTTAACTGAGTTGGCTAAAAACTGAATACATGGAAAGACATCCTGGGTTCACGGACTGGAAGACAACATAAGATGCCAATACTACCCAAAGCCACCTACAGTTGGAATGCAATCCCTATCAAAACCCCAATGGTGTTTTTTGCAGAAATATAAAAATTCCACCCTAAAATTCATATGGAATCTTTAGAAACCCAGAAAAGCCATTAACTATCTTGAAAATGAAAAACAAAGTTAGAGGTCTCACATTTTGATTTCAAAATTGATTATATACTACAGTAATCAAAACAGCACAGTTACCAAAATCATGGCATAAAGACAGACCAATGGAATAGAGAGAAATAACCCTTGTATATATTATCAAATGATTTTTCACAAGGTACGGAGACCATTCAGAGGGGAAATTATAGTCTTCTGAACAACTGGTGCTATATGGATATCCATATATAAAAAAATGAAATTGGACCTTTCCTTTACACCACATACAAAAAATAACTAAAAAAAAAGGATCAAGGACCTAATAATGAAAGCTAAAACTGCAAAACCCTTTGGAGAAAACTTAGAGGAAAAGCTTCACGACATTGGAGGTAGCCATAATTTCTTGGTTATGACACCAAAAGCATAGGCAACAAAAGTAAAAACAGATAAATTGGACTACATCAAAATGAGAAGCTTCTGTGCATTGAAAGACAGAATGAAAAGGCAACCCTCAGAATGGGAAAAATATTTGCAAATCATAGATCTGATAAGGGGTTGCTGTCCAGAATCCTACAATAACCAAAAAAAACTCAATTAAAAAATGAGCAAAGGACATAAAAAGACGTTTCTCCAAATAAAATATACAAATGGCCAACAAGCACATGAAAAAATACTCAACATCACTAAGCATTAGCGAAATGCAAATCAAAACCATGAGATATGACCTTACACTCAATTACTATCAAAAAAATAGAAAATAACAAGTGTTGACAAAGATATAGAAAACTGGAATCCCTGTACTGTTGGTGGAAACATAAATTGGTAGGGCCACTATGGAAAACAGTATGGCAGTTAAAAGGTTAAAAATAGAATTACTATATAATCCAGCAATCCTACTTCTGAATATACACCCCAAAGAAATAAAAGCAGGGTCTCAAAAAGATATTTGCACACCCACATTCATAGCAGCAATCACATGTTACAACATGCATAAACCTTAAGGAAATTACGCTAGGTGAAGTACACCAGTCACAAAAAGACAAATACCATGTGATTCTACATATATGAGGTACTGATAAAACAGTATTTCATTAACTTTCTTAGTACTTCCAAGAGGAAAGTCAGAACCCTCTCCCAACACATAAGCGAGTACATAGAGAGGTAATGTAATTCAGTAGAATCAGAAACTAAGTCGGGTTCTTATCATAGACTTTGAAAATGTATTCTCTCCTCCTGCTCCTACAGAAATACAGGAAAATCATTTTTTCACCCCTCAAATCTCAGCACTTTGTCAAGAAGTCTGCTCTTCTCTGCCAAGACAAGTCTAATTAGTAAACAAAAAGATAAAAACCCTGAGAGTAGGCATAAACCACTTCCTACCCATGAAAGCAGTTTACATTACTATTTCCAGTTTCACAATGGCCAAGTTAATATTTATTAATCCCTAATCATGTTCCACAGAATTTGTTATTAACAAGGGAAGACCAAGTAAATGTATCTGACAAAGTACGATCCTGCCTCTTTGTCTTTCAAAATCAACATCTAACTGACTTGGCGATCCAACTAAAGGTTAGATGGCAGTTAGCAAAGGCTTCATGTGAAAAATACGGCTGAAGCCAACGCTTAAGCACCAGCTATGTGCTGGGTGCTGTGATCACGCCGCCTCACTGAGTTCACACGCCCCTCCTGAGGCAGGCATGACCATCTCCGCTTTACCAGAGGACAACACTGCCACTCGCTGACTTGCCGAAGTCAGAGCTAGTGAGTCCCGGGACCAAACTGGAAATCCAGGCCTCCAACTCCCAAGCCCCTGCTCTTCGCATGAATCTAAAGTGCTGCTTCTGCTACGAAGATCATGAGAAGGACCGTGCTGACCAGGCAAAGATAACCTTTGTGAGAAAATGGCAGCTAAGGGAGAAAAAAGTCTAACCTCAGTCTATCAAGTCAGAGAACACTGTTAGCTTGTGCTTAACTTTAACTTCGTTAACGGGTATCCTTTCTTCAACTATTAAGAAATAAAACGTACTTGCAAAATAATTGAGGAATCTATCCTCTCTTCCAAAGATGTCCGACGGTTTTATGATAGTGGCTTCTGGAAATGCCTCTCTCACTTCTTTCTCTCCAACAGCCTAAACAAACAGCCAAACAAACAGGGCTCTGAGACATGTGAACAAAGCTTGCATTCTTTCCACTATCAGGACACCACTTGTATTTCAAAGACAGTATTTTCCTCCAGATTAAGGTATTATTCATTAAACTCAAATTACTAGAATTTTTTTTTTATAACACATAAAAATGCCCTGCCTCTTAGAGCTCTAGTTGGGTTTCTTCCCATGTTTATTTGGTGGAAGCTTACACAGAAAAGAAAGGAGAAAAATGAGAGTAGAATTTTTCTAGCCTCCATTTTTCCTTCTAACCACAGATTCTCTGTGTCAACAACCTAGCAGCCTGCCAGGGAAAGGAGAGTGTGTCGGAGCAGACTGCAGTAGTGGAAATGGCGGTGGTGCACACCTACCCAGAGGGGCAGGGGACGGGGTCATTACTCTTCCGAACTTCAGCTGTTGTAATACCCTCACTCACTGTCACCCGCTCACTTCCTGGCCAGGCCTGTGCCCCATGCAGACATCAGCGCCGAGGTCAGTACTCCCGCCCATATACACCCCATCACTAACCACCAGGGAGGTGCAGCTCAAAACCGCAATGAGATCACCTCACACCTGTCAGAATGACTAGTATCAAACAGACAAGAGGTAACAGGTGTTGGTGAGGATGTGCAGAAAGGAGAGCCCTGGTACCAATAGCATTATTAAAAAAAAGAAGGAAATCTTGCCACTTGGGACAATATGGTGGATCTTGAGGACATCATGCTAAATGAAATAAATCAGAGAAAGAAAAATACTCTATAATCTCACTTATATGTAGAATCTAAAAAAATTTAAAAATCCAAAAAATTGTACTCTATTTTAGATAAAGATTGGTGGTTGTCAGAAGTGGGCAAAATGGATAAAGGAGTCAAAAGGTACAAACTTCTGGTTATAAATAAGTCAGTCATGGAATGGAATGTACAGCATGGTGACTATACTTAATAATACTGTATTATATATTTGAAAGTGCTAAAGAATAGATCTTTAAAGTTCTCATCACAATAAGAACACATTTGTAACTATATTTAGTAATGGATGTTAACTAGACTTATGGTGGTCATCATTTCACAATATATACAAATACCAAATCATTAAGTTGCACATCTAAAAGTAATAATAATTTATATGTCAATTATACCTCAATCAAAAAAACATGTATTTTTACCACTGTAAGTTCATGTCATCAATTTTAACTGGGCCCTCAAGTAGTGTTTTCTTCTAACTGGTTTACTTTCCCATCCTACAACTTCTCTAGTCTATTCAAATTTCTCCCTTTCTTTCCTCTTCCTTATAGTAAATGATTTCACCTTTTATTTCAAAGAGAAAATACAGCAGCAGAGAAAAACCACCTCATGTTCCCACTACTAAATCTAAAACTCAGGGGCATGAACCAACATTTTCTCCTCCTTTCTTACAACAGAGGAGTAGAGCCACCTCCAGGGCTCCGGGGCTCACCTCCACTTGCTCAGGAACCTGCTCAATTTACTCTCCTCTATCTTCAGTTGCACTCTCTTTACCAGCACCTTCCCATCAGTATTTAAATGTCAAGTTCTTCTGCCTTAAAGGAAAAAAAATATCCAACTCCACATGTGCCTCCAGCTTCCTGCTCCCTCCATCCTCTTTACCAAATCATTTAAAAATGCTGCCTGCCATGACAGCCCTGCTGCCTCAGCTCCTGCTCCCTACCTGTACTTGGGACTCTGCCCCAACACGTGCACTCAAACCATTGCTGATAAGGTCACAGATGACCTCCGTGCAGATCCGAGCTGACTGTGCCGGTCTCACCTTACTTTGCTCCTCAGCGGCATTCCCAGGTAACGCCCCCCTCCTCGCAGCGCTGTCTCCCCTTGGCTTCCACAGCCACATGCTCTCCCGGGTCCCCTCCCACCTCACCAGGCCCACTGCTTCTCAGTCTTTTTGTTTTGTTTTTTGGCAGGTGCCTCCTCACCTACCTGACCAAGAGTCACTGCTATTCCTCTGGGTCGAGTCCAAAGCTCTCTATCTACACATCCTCACTAGGCCATTTTATCCCCTCCCACAGCTTCAATTAACAACAAATGCTGGTGAAACATTAATATCTTCAACCCAGACCTCTCTTTTGGGCTCTAGGATTATGAACCCCATTCACCACTGTCACCTGGCTGAGGGACACCTAAAATGCAGCCCAAGTCACATCCCCATCCATCCTCTGGAAAGCAGCGTTTCTCCGCCTTTGCTGCACACTGGAATTACCTAGGGAGAGTCAAACAATACAAGTGCCCAAGTTCTATCCCTAGAGATGCTCTTTTCATTGGTCTGGGTGCAGCCTGGGCATCAGGACTTTTTCAAAGCTTCCTCAGTGGTTCTAATACGCAGCTCAGCCTAAGAATCGCTACCTTAAGCCTCAAAGCCTTATCCTTCCCCAGCGCCTCTCGCCTTCTTCAACAGCAGCACATCTACCTAGTGGTTTCAGCCAGAAGGCTGGACATCTCTGACTCTTCCCTCTCTCCTCCTTGACCCCAGCCCTTCCAAACAGACACAGAATCAGATGATTCCAGGGATGCTAGGGCAGAGGCAGGCTCCCTGTGCTCACCCTCGCTCCCCTCACCAAGGCAGAATGAAAATGCTGAGGCCCGAACGTGCTGTCAGCCAGTTCTGGGACTATGAAAAACAGAGCAAAAGCCCTGGTAAACCTTGGCACCGAGGTGGCTAGAGTTCCCTACTGCTATGTCTTTCAGATACCTGGGCCTATGAATTCCCTTTATGTTTAAGCCAGTTTTTTTGCTGATTTTGCTGATGTTAGAAATTAAATGCTCCTAACTGACGCTGCCTTCTTTCCCCATTCTGTGTTCATGTGGCACACCTGGTGCATCTGGAATCATTTTCCTCAATGGACTAGAAATTAGATGTGGGCTAAGACCATGTCTGTTTTATTCACTACTCTATCCCCAGCACCTACTCCAGTATGTAGCATTTAGTAGGCGCTTAAAAAATAATTTGTTTAATAAAAGAATGCAGTGGGTCAAAAAGTTGGAGCTACTGTCACAGAACTCTGTGGTCCATATCAGTCTGCCCCCAAGCAGACTCCTGGTGGCAGAAACTAAATGCTGACGATGGCCCCAGACACTGTAATCCCTGAGTCCCCAATAATAAAGACATTTCAGGTTACAGGCTGACTCAAAACCAGAGTGGTCAATCCCTACATACAATCTGGATGACAGTGGGACTTCTGGAAGTATCAGAAGCCTATGTACTGTGCGGATAGCCACTTTCCCTGGCAAATATTTATCCCTATCATCCTCAGTCTTCCCACCACCCCTTCAAGAATGGCACAGGACCATGACTATGCAAAGGGTCTGGGAAAGAAAGATGATCATTTAACCTGGGTGGGTGACACAGGTGTGACTCATTTGGCAGAAATACTACTATACCTTTTATGATGTCTACTGTATAATCCTATTATGCCCCAAGAAACCTTAAGCATTTGAGGGCACATAATGATATTGGTCTATCCATCTTTGAAGCCTCTTAGCATAGTTCCCTGCAAATAGAAGGCACTCAACCAAAATGTCAGAACACAACACACATACACACACACAAACACACCCACCCAATTCTTGATGTGGAGAATTAAAACCCCTTTTAATTCTGGCTAAGTCAAGGAGAAACCCTTCTCATTTAACTCATGTTTCAAAGGGGCCAAGAAACCCTAATTCTGTGAACCATCTCCCAAATCAACTTGTCACTTACTTACCTTATTTCTCATATACCTAGAAGAGCTTTTAATATCGGCATTCAGATGTGAAACATGAATGAATTTTTCAACTCCAGCTTCCTTGGACACTTGAGCAATTGTTTGGGGAATCTTTACAAAAACATCCTCAAAGTCAAAGTTTCTGGAAGAAAAAAAAAAGGGATCAGTTAAGAACACCTGACTCAGGATTGCAAAGCTGTCTGTGATAAGCTGGTTTTCATACTACTGCTAGAAATCATAACAGTTAAACTTTTAAACAGCATTGACTTAACCCAAAGTCAAAATTAATATACATGTATTTTTTATTTTACTGTTGTCATTACTGTACACAATTTAAAGTTTACTATAAGTTATAAATCAACATGCACAATATTCTCTGATCTCAAGGAATTCCAAGACTGAAGCCCTTTAAAAACACCTGGTTGGGTGAGAAGAGGTAAATGTCAGGGGCTGAAAGGGAAATCACCTCTTACCCCCAGGCCTTTGTTTCCCTCAGAGGAAAAAAAAGAACTAAAAAATCAGTCACCAGTTTAATCCAATAACATTAACCAGATGCTTACTCTGCACAAGCCACTGTGTTAGTGGGGGGGATATGAAGTTGAGTCAGACCATCCAAGTCATCACAGAACTTAAAAATATGTGATGAAGCAGATACAGATAAATAAATCTAAGTCAAACTTGAATAAATGCAAAAAGGGAGGTATGAACAAAGTGGTGTGGAACTACAGGATTAAAACATTATCTGTTGATAAATGACCCACACAAAGGCTAAAAAGAACCATTCAAGCCAACACTGTTAGAACTGTTCACACAAAGTGCCATCTTTGATTAACAATGGGGAGAACAGATCTAAAACACTTTACCAATGTTCGGCTTACTGAACAGTAGGACAGGCAAAATCCTGCTACCTAACCACATCCCTGCTGGACAGATCTAAGAACAGGGCCAACACCGGCCATTCCACTGCGTTGATGACACCAATCACACTGATATGATCTGCATGGGCTGCTTATGGGCAGCACATCACACTGCTCATTTATAACAGACCTACTGACAACTAAATCCCTTAAGTGGGGTCCAGTGGGTCTGTAGGTGGTTGTTCAATCAATGCTCATTGATGGGCAAATTGAAAATATCACAATTACAATGCCTGGCATCAGCAGGTGCCCAGTGATTATCTACTGAGCCCAAAGACAGCTTATGCAAAGAAGAAAGAGGAGTCAAAGACTTACTTGGTTTCCCATTCTCGCCCAACAAGATTGATGACCACATTGCTGTGCTTCACTGCTCTTTGGATAGAATCTCTGTTTCTCCCATTCCACTCCTATAAAAGTAGCAGCCAGTCAAATGAGAACATAAGCAGCATTCCCTGGCACTTAGCAGTTTTGTAGGTCCTTCATTCCCCTTACCTCCTGCCCCAGCAATTTTCAAAATGAGCCATCTGTTGCAATCATAATACAGTACCACTTCATACAGTCTCCATCTACTAGAACACAAATGGTTCTGAGGTCTCAGACTCCCTGCTGATTCTCTGACTCTTCTGGAGATAAATAAGCCAAATTATATTTGATTCAGGTAATCAAATGAAAGAACTAGAAAAGACTCTATTCATTCTTATGGGCCACATCTATCTTTATCTACCCAACCGCGTCCTACCAGTCTGTAAACAAATCCAGTAATCAAGTGTCCCTGAAATACAACCAAAGAACCAAGATCACTGCGGAGGTTATCTGACTCTCCCTTTTTTAGCAGGAACCAGTTACAGACTGAAGATGGGGCAGTATCTCAGAAGCCAACATTAACGGGAGCATTCACGACTATCTTCTTATTGCTTTTTTAATTCTTTCCTCTTTATAATCCCAGCTCTCATCATTTCTACTTTAAAGACATGAAAACAACACTCAGAAAGAAATTAGCTGCCTAAAACTTCTGGGTGAGCCAGTGGCAGACTTTGGTACAGGACTTCTGCAGTCACTTAGGACTTCAGTCAGATTGACAATTCTTGTCCAAAATAGGGATTAAATAGCCCCAGACAAAGGTACAGTACTTTCTACGTTAAAATAAAATAGAATTTTCAAACAGTCCCCTGGGAGGTAATAAGTATTCAGAATTTCTTAGGGTCAAATACTAGGTGTGTACTCATGAGTGAGTCAAGTGGGAAAGTGAGAAGGGATGGGGGAAGGGAAAAGAAAAAGGGAGAGAGACACAGACAGCATAGTGTACTAAAATGCTCATGCAATTCTGATGAGTGAGGAAGGGCCACAGAAATCAGACTCAAGTACAAAAGATGAAACCCTCAGCAGGAGAAGCTAGTGACAACTGCTGATGGAGAGTGGAGTACCAGAGATGGCACAGGGTGACAGCTTTGGAGTCAGTCAGGAATGCAAATTCCAGTTTGCCATTTACTAAATTATGTACAAATTATCTCTGAAACATCCACATAAAATTTGAAAATACAAATACCTCGTGGGGTTGCCATGGTGATTAAGGGAACTATACATAAAATCTATAGCACAATGAGTGACATATTCAACAAAAAAAGCAGCTCTACACATAAGAACAAGAAAAGGCTTTTTCAGAAAAGATGGCAAGGATGGAGAGGAAGAATCCAAGAAAACTCAGACTGGAAGAGCTTGAGGTATAACTGCATGAACGGCCCAAGAGTGAAGCCTGGAGAGAAGGAATCAGAAGGAAATCAAATTCTCAGGGACAAGACCATGCCCCTGGGCATGGTCAGCTCAGTAAACCAAGTGGCCATTCAGACAGCAGTCTCTTAACAGAGACTAAAGGGGGGAATCAACACCTCACATCTAACATGGTCCATCCTTCTCAAAACTAAACAATAATATAATGAAGTTCCTCCATTATTCCTTCTCTTTCATACACATATTATATTCAAAGTTATGTGTTTACTGTCTGTATTCCCTCTTAAGACTGTAAGCTCCCTGCAGTCTTGTTCAGCAAGACATGCTCAGAGCTTAGCTCAGTGCTCGACACAGAGCAGACACTCAATAAATACCTGTGGAAAGAATGGAATACATGTCATATCGTGTAAACCCAGGGATTCCACATTTGCAAACCAGAAAAGCTTTCACCTATCATTTATGAAATACTTTTAAAGACTGACAAGATAACCAACAATCTTAATTCATAAAGAACCAGGAAGCTTTTTCCTATTGTAACTCTTCACGTAAAATAAAAAATATTTCCATTTTTTTTTAATTGTAAGTACAATACCCAGAAGATACTTGAGAGTTAAGATTTTGGAAAAGAAAAACACTTTTAAAACAAGAAATTTCCATATAGATACTATACTTAGCTTGTGACCATTCAGTTAAGAAGAAATGAAAATGCCTTTAAAAATAAGTCAAAATTTAAAGAACTCACAATCTGTATGAATATACCAGTGATATTAAGGATGTTCACCAAACATTTTCTAAAAGGGGGAGATGTGGAAACAGAAGAGCTCAGTTTTATACAAGATGACAAAAGCAGGGAAAACTTAGCTGTAAGACCAGTGGACCAAGCATCAGAGCCCAGGGCATTCTCACAAGGATCAGTGCAGGGATTCTGGGCACCGTAACTGTTTGTGAAAAGGGACTGCCCTGGGTACTGCAGGATATTTAGCATCCCAGGCTCCTACCTAATAAGCCAGTATGGTCTCCAGTCATTGTGATAACCAAAGGCCCACACAGTTTTTAATCACTCCCTTGCACAATCTCCTCCTCCCCATTCTGCCTACCTAGTTTCTTTTAGGAAAAACCTGTCGATTAAAGAATGACAGGGGATGCTCAGGAAGGACTGTTCTAAATACATTAAGTCTATGCTAAGCAATCCAAGTTACAAAACACCTTATGTGTGATTTTCACTGTCTGCAGAAGCACCATCCAATAGAAACATAACATGAAGCCCATCTGTCATTCCAAATTTTCTACTAGTCACACTTAAAAGAAACAGGTGAAATTCTTATTCAATAATATACTTTATTCAACCCAATATACCCAAAATATTATTTCACTATGTAATAAATACATGATGTATATATATCTGGTTTTGTACTAAGTCTTTGAAACCTGGTATTTATTTTACACTTATACCACATCTCAATTCAGACAGCCACACTTTAGCACTCAAAAGCCACATGTGGCTAGTGGCTATCATACTGGACAGCACAAGTCTAGGGCAGGAGTTGGCAAACTATGAGCCACAAGGAAATCTAGCTTTCAGTCTAACTTTGTAAATAAAGTTTTCTTGGAACACAGCTACTCCCATTAATTTACATATCATCTAGGCTGCTTTCAGGATGACAAGAGCAGAGCTGAGTTATCATGACAAAGACCTTATGACCTACAAAAGCTGGCCATTTACAAGAAAAGTTTGCCAACTGCTGGACTAGAGTTTACAAGAATGCCCTGAGAATGGAGGATGCCCTAGGGTCCACTCTGGGATGAAACTGCTGCCTTATTATACTGCCTCTCTCCTAAAAGTGACCTGAGTAATTTACATTTGTCAACTCATATAATCAGTCCTACGGCTCTTACCAGAAAGATAATCTGACCCAAGTCACCCATGGGACGAAGATGCATGATGTCATATGAATCACACCGATAAGGTACGATCACCTGTGACCCCATACGTCCTGAAAATGAACGGATTGAAACAAGGATCAACATTAACGTAATATAGATACATTTATTTAACAATTGTTTATTTAACAATTTAACAATAACAGTGATTTGGTAAATATTAAATTCCAGGATGATACAATAATTGATATTTAACAAACAGCCTGTTTTGCCATGCTAGAGATGCCATTAACTTTTCAGGGTTGCTTATTCTTGTTTTGACATCCTATACCAGAAGCATGGGTGTGCTCATAATGGACAGCAGATCAAAATTATAAAAATCCAAGACAGGAGTAATTCATAGCACTGTTAAAATGAAAGAAACACAGCTTATGGCTGCTTATTAGTCAAGTCTAATAAATGGCACAGGGCTACACTGAACTCCTGAACTTTACTTACCAAGGTGGTTGACAACATAGCGGCCCAGGAATCCTGTTGCCCCAAACACAGTGGCCACAACCCCACTGACTGAGGATCGCCCACCTTTTCCATGAGGTATGAGGGCATGATGAAGCTGGTGCTGGGGTGAGCCATGAAACATGGATGTGGCTGTTGCAGTAATAGGAGAACCTTAAACCACAGAGTATACAAAAATGGCAAATGTTACTCTAAAAGTGACTATGAATAGTGTTTTTCCTAGGAACTTGTAACATTATTTTGCTATCAGTACTTTCATTTACTCAAGTTACTATTCAAATTTAACTTCTCAATTAAAAGTTGTAACTTAGGTGACAACAGCCAATGATAATCACAAACTATTGCAACAAAGAATCCACAGGACAGAAGGAAACATACAAAAATTAGAAAGTAAACTCCTCGCCCTACAGGATATATAATTTACCTAGCAAGGTAAATTACATTTTTTTGAAATGACACATTAAATAGTTACAAATTAAGAGCATAAAACCTCTATGTTAAAAGAATCCAAGAGAATGCCAAGCAAGGAAGCAACAGGTTAGACAATTATGAGGAAGGCTTGCTGAATGAAGTGGGGAGGGCTGGTTTTTTTTTTTCCAGTATTACTGAGAAATAACTGACATAACCACCGCTGTCGAAGTTTATGACATATGGCATGATGGTTTCATTTACAGGTACTGTGAAATGATGACCATAGCCTAGCTAATATCCATCATCTCACATAGATATAATGAAAAGAAAGAAGAAAAAAAAATTTCTCCTTGTGATGAGAAGTCTTAGGATTAATTCTCCTAACGTTTTCCTGAGTATCATACAGCAGTGTTAGTTAGCGACATTCTAACTTGTGTTTCTCCCTATCCAAATGTCTGGAATTGGGAGGAAAAGCCTAGCCTCCCAAATAGTGACTGAAACCAGAGATTAAGAAGCAATATTGCAGATCAGGCACAAAATAATAATATAATAATAAATGATAATACAATATGTATAGTATATAATATATTATGAATATATATAATAAGTTTAATAGCTAAACTTACAAACCTCTTACCAGATGCCTGACATTACTCTAAAAGCTTAACAGCTATATCTTAATGCCATTTTTATGCAACTTTACTGATGAAGAAACTTACATCCAGAGAGGTTAAGTGACCAGCCCAAAAAGCCAGCAAAAGAAATTGAGAAACAGCTACCGAGGTTAAGAAAAAGAACACACAAAATGGCATCCAGAAGCCAAACAAAGAAAGCGGCGGATGGAGACAGCGAACACTCCGCAATGCCGCTGAAAAGTGAGTAGGATGAGGAGAGAGGACCATCGATCTACACAGTGCTGGCTGAAATGGCCTTACTTCCTTCAGAGCCAGTTCATGGAGTGGAAATGAAAGCCTGGCTGGGGCAGATAAGGGAGTGGTCAGAGCAGCATCAATAAGTCCTTTTCTGAGGTGATAAGATGCAAAGGGCCAAAGAAAAATGGAACAAGAGGAACATGAGGACAAGGAAGGATTTTTTAAAAAATATGAGACACTGTAACATATTTAAAGGCTGATAGATGTAACCCAGTAAAAGGGAAAAATGAAGAGTTCAGGAGAGGGCATGAACAGGTACAAGAGGACGGGACTGAACGTAAAAGTGAAGGAACCGGCCGTAGATCAGAGCAGGAGGAGGTCACTGCCTGCGGGAGGGAAGGCAGAGGATTTCCACAAGTCACCTACTACATCTTTATGGTGGGAAAAAGAGCATGGTCTCATCTTAATTCTTAGATTTTTCTGTAAAGGTGAGATGAGACAAAAGCACATGTTAGAAGTTTTAGGAGACTACCAATGTTATACAATGATTATGGAGAAAGAGATGGGAACTTTACTAGGAAAATGTAGTGCTGAAAGTCTGCCTGAGAACTGTGTTCATCTATTTAAAATAAGGCCAGTCAGGTAGTTTGGAGTATTCCTTAGCTCGGTTCTCCACTGCTCAGGAGCAGGCAGAAAATATATGGAAAGCCTGGTTTCATCAGTGTTGTTTATTATGACAGTGGGAGATGGTCTGGAAGTTGAGAACGTATGAAAAGGAATGATCAGAATAATGAGTAAGGAAAGACATGAGGACATCAGGTAAGGACAGATCGCTAAAATGGGAAGAATTACTGGAGTCAAGAGATTAATACTTCAAAGAATTGTTATGGGAATTAAACGTATGTAAAGCATTTAGCACATTACCTCACACACATTAAGCACTCCATGAGTAAGATGACTTCAGTTACAATTACTTTGAAATTCCCCAGAAGGTAATATGACACTAACCTTACATGGGTATTTTTTGTTTTTGTTTAACAACTATGGATCAAGCACTCATCTAGAACTGTCGACTAGCAGAGTAAAAAAGTCAAAGTCCCTGGCCTCATGGAGCTTACATTTTAGAGGGTTGATATGAGAATTAATAATATATAGGTAAATACGTATTACAGTGCCTTGCACATAGTAGGTGTTCAATAAATATGTTATTATCCTCTTTGGTTCCAGCCTGTCCATTTTCTTCCATTGATTAGGAACAACCTTAGAAGAGTCTTATTTCTGATTCATCTATTCCTCTGCTCAAAAACCTGCAGTATTCCAATTGTAATATCCAAACCAACAGTCTCCAAACATATTTCCTTGCACACTGAATTCATTTTTTAAAAGGACTTTATAGATTACATACGTGCTCATGTAGTATCAATGTTACACACATTAAAAACATATTAAAGCACTTAGAATAATGTCTGGTATAGTTTGACCTATGTGTTAACTACTGTTTGCTATTATTACTGAAAACGTTTTTTAGAAGTTCTAACACTGTATTTTTATATCCAACTGATTCCTCTTACAAAATCCACTTTGGAGACCATTGGTTTAAACTTGTCTTGACTTCCAAAGGCCTCCATTATCTGATCCCATCTAAGGTATTCACCCTCCTTTCCTAGGATTCCAGATCTACAGGAATTTCACTGCCTGCTAAGTATTTCATGACTTCCTTCCCACTGCGTGTCCTTGCCAGTGCCAGGAAAATGTCCAGCCTCTCTGACTTTCCACATCATAAAAACCCTAAAAATCTCAAGGGAAGCCCTGCAATTCTCCATTGGTCTTCCAATCTTCCTTCACTACTTCAATGATACTAATCTTTCCCTTTTTTGATTTCCTATGGTATTTAGGAGTCTCTCCACATTTCATTATATATAACTGTTTTACACAATTCTGTTCTATAGTGTTTTGATTATGTTACACACTAGACTTGCCTCTCTGGAATTTACCCAAAAGCTCACTTTACCAGAGACAATAAAGCAGAGTGGCTAAGAGCACAAGCTAGGGTATCAGTTTAAAAAAAAAAAAGCTGGGGGGAAATTAAAGGGAAAAAAATGTATGAAAATACTGTAGCTCGCGTACAGCAGGAACTGAATAAATAGCAGTTATTATCATTCACAATCACCATTATGTCACACCGATGTAACAGTTTAACAAGAACCAGCAAACATCTTTGCAAAGAAGTCATGGTTACAAAATCTATACTATACTATGGTATAAAGCTACTATATGTGATGAGAACCAAGCATGTTCCCAGGGGTCTGTAGCTCTACTCAAAATGGAAAACAAAAAAGGATCCTCCCATGCAAATTCACCCCCTGCTGAACATAAGAACTATCTGTGGAGCTTTTAAAATTGGAGGTGCAAGCAGCCAATCTCAAATATTCTGATTCAATAACTCTGCAAGGAGACCCCATTTCCATTTTATATAAAGCTCTAAGAATGCCTGATATCCAGCTAGTTCTGAGAGCAAATGGTTCTGTGATGACTAAAATACACTATGGAAAAATAAAACTTTTCGAGATTGATTGAAGCATGTTTACGAAGGGGTGCCGGGGAAAGAATGACAACGAAGTGTAACTGTATTCCCAATTTCCTTGTTTTTCTAGCCTCTCGTGAGTAGGAGAGCAAATATATTCTTTCAATTTGGAAGATCATGCCAGCAGATCCAATCAGAAGAGAAGAGAAAATGAACAACGCTTAGACAAATCCTAAGACACCCTTTACTCCTCTTCCCTTTCCTTTCCACCAAGCTTCTAATATTCTCTTTCCAGGCATCCCTTGCTGTCCAAGGCCTCCGCGCCTCAACCTAACACCCTCTACATCTGCAGCCATGCTTTTGATTTAGAAAATGCTTCAGAGATATTACTACACTTAAGCGCTTCAGAAACTCCCTGATGCGGTTTACCATTCCCGTTGTAACAGGAAGAATCTAAGCTGACACCGATTAAAGGTTTGCACAAGGTCGTAAAGTCAGTCAACAAAGAACCATTTCTCACTCTCCTTTGGATTCCACCCCTTTCGGATTCCTCCCCGTCCCCTCCCGCCACACACAGGTATTTCTCACAATCCCAAACCCTGTAAGAACTCCAATTTTCTCGATCCTTTACAGGGCCTCACTCTCTCTCCCTTCCCGTTGCTCACGTTCGCTCAGTGCAGACCTCTTCCTAAGTGAACAATTTATTATGGGAGCCGGGGACGGGAAGGGAGAAACTGTACAGAGACAGCTCCCGACCTAGAAAAGCCAAGCTGCTCAGGGGGTCTGCGTGACCGCTGCAGCACGACGCCACTCCCCAAACTTTCCACCCCGGTCTCGGAATCCCGAACGGGGCCGCTGTTCCCGGTGACACTTACGTGACATTGGCAGGGCCCGGGCAAGCCGGGGGTGAACGGCGGCCGCCATTTTCTCCCAGAATCCCCCACTGCTGGCACTCCGGCAGCGGACTACGGCTACTAAGCTGGGTCAAAAGTGGTCGTCCGCGCCTGTTGCGCAGGCGCTAACCGGAAAAAAGGAAGAGGTGGGTGGAGTGTACGGAAACGGGGACTTGGCAAGATGGATGGGAGGGAGCATGATGGAGAGGGACTGGAAGGGAAATAAAAAGAAACTTGTGTGGTCGGAATCTCAGATCCAGAATGGACCGTATGGGTAACCTCATGGCCGAGGAACCTCACGTTGAGAGTCAACAGGGACTGATTCAAGGGCAAACAAAATGTCAGACCCCGAGCTGCAGGAGCGCAGCTTTTCTGCCTCTCAGCCCTCTGTTGCCTGAAAATGTTAGATAGGGTAACCCTGGTGAGACGGGGGAAGGTGGCGTCGTGGCCCCTGCCCTCTGCAAGTTCTTCAAGGAGGGAACCAGTGCCCAGGGGAGGGGATGTGCAGAAAAGGACTGAGTGGGGCGGGGACGCAGAGGGGAGGCGTGGGGAAGAGAAGAGAATTGAGGATGGGCACGTCTAACTCGGCAAACATTCTCTGCTCGGAGCCTTTGCTCCTGTGCCCTTTTCCTGGTATGATCGCGCAGATGTCTGCACCAGCTCAAGGTCCTGCTCATAGGTGACCTCCTTAGAGAAGGGCTTCTTTAACGTCCGAAGTGGTCATTATTCCACCCGTCTTTATGATTATTACCCATTTATCACAGCTTATAACCACTTGATAGGAATCCAAGGATTCTTAATTTGAAGTGTGATTTCATGTAACATTTCCGTCTAACCTATGGAAATGTTACATGAAATGTACTGTGTGCCATCTGCGTGTTTTTCCAGAAAGAAACTCGAGGTGGCTCTCTAGAGCAATGGTTTGTACATTTTTTTTTTTCCAACTGTGGACCCCTTTGAAGATCTGCATTTTTCTAGAAAGAGATATCTAGAGCATGTGGAAGTTCCAGGATGATAGAACACTCGCATTTTAAAAGTTTATTCTGGTCAGCCTCTCAAGATGCCTGAGTAGGAGGCTGCAACCACCATCCTGTCCTAAGACATCTACATTGGGCTATTCAGAAAACAAACTAGTCTGGGGACTCTTCCTAGGCTTGGTAATTCTTTCAGTGCTTTGTTTTTTCAAGAAGGAAAGAGCGTGCATTGCTGGGATGGACAAAAGACCTATAGTGAGTAGAGAGTTTGCATATAAGGCCTGTTAAGATTGACTGTTCCCACTCCATCCTACTCCATTTGACTGCAGTGTCACCTACTAGACTGAATTGGAAGAGGAACGAAACTTGAAAAATGTTATCAGAGAAGTTTAATAGTGCTACACTGTCTTATGTTTCTCAGCCTCATCCAATGTTCGGTCAGGACTTAAAATTCTGCATTGACCCCTTAGCTCTGTGCCTTCTGGAGCTTACAGACAGATCCTGGAGTCAGTATGAATATAAATGTGCTTTCCTGGTTCTGATAAATTGACAGACCCCATTATCATCAACAACTTCCTAACACCTGTGTAACATTGACAAGTATGTTATTTTACATCTCCAAGTCGAACACTCTCATGTTCCTAACACCAGTCTCAAGGTGGCATGATATAGTTGAAAGAACACTGACTTAAAACTCAGAAAGTTAGATCCAGACTCAATTCAACCAGTAAATAGTTGTCACCTGAGCAAGTTTCCACACCTACAGGGACAATAATACCTGCCCTGTTACCTCAAAAGGTTGTTGTGAGGATCACATGACATAATGGATATGAAGGTGCTTTGTCAACTGCAAAGTGCTATGTGGATGTACATGCAGTTCCATTAAAAAACCACTGAGGTATCAAAATCATAAAATGTTAGAGCTGGAAGGGATCTTAAGAGATGATTAAGCCCAAAATCTTTATGAAGCTGAGACCTAATACAAAAGATCAGCAATGGAAAAATAACCTTGTTGAAGGAAGCTTGCAATAAACCAGCCACTTTTGATTCGTTAACAATTTTAATCTTTATCTTGTGGCCTTGATGAGAGATTTCACTTCTTGGAAATTATGCTTTAGTCCTATATTTAACCTGGGTTAACTCACATATCTTGTTTTAAGTTAAATCCATTGACAAAATTTCCCCCTTATTCCTTACCAAAATTAGACAGTTAGGGGAAAATTAGTTGGGAGAAAGCAAGGCTAGCCAAGCTAAGCAAGAGCTTTGGAGTCGAGTCTTCCCTCTTCCCCTGGTCCTATGGCAACTCAATTGCTGGTAGCCTCCCTGCTGTTGCTATAGTGACAGTGATGTCACCAGTTGTAATTCTGATGTCACTCTCCAGTCCCCACAAGGGGGAGGTACATGGGAGGCTGATGGAGGAAACAAGATCTTGAGCTGAGCAAGAACATCTCAGAATATTCATTGACATCAAAAAGTCTATTCTGGAGTTTTCTGTGGTTCACTATTCCAGTGCTACAGAGGTAGGTTATCCCACTAGCCTGATAAAACAGCCCATTTTCTGAGCCTCTAGGGTTAAGAGGGAGAATTCAGTGACAAGTGATGGGTAACTTAGTGTTCAGCCCAGCCTCCTTCTTGGCCCAATTTTATTTTCACATCAGAGTCCTCTGGAAATAAGTGAGTCTCTCCTTCAGCAGCATTACAGCTGGACCTACAAACTTTGCTGCTGAAGTTTTAATTTTGTTGTAGCTTTGACCATATCTTCCTGGCCATCCTTTTGGGAACCAAGGGGCTCCTTGCTTCCCAGTTTGATGATGAGACTTGAAAGCCTGATGGATGACCTGCTGACTTTTCTTCTTCATTGTGTGGCTGTTCCAAAAGCTCTCTTTTTTCTGACGCTCTAATGGCAAAGTCAGCCTGCTGTAGTTCTGAACCCAGATTCTCATTCCCCTTTTATCCTCTCACTATCCTTTCTGACGACTTGGCAAAACAGCAGAGAACTGGGGAAAGGCAGAATGTATCTAGCTGTGCAAAGAGTGTCTGTACTAATGGGGCACTAGGGAAAGAAGCCAGGGCAAAGAGAGAGGGAGATCCACGGAGTAGTTACTGGTACACACGCACCTCTAATCTTATTTAAGCAAAATCAGCTAAAACTTATCACAGCAGCAACCTAATTCATTGAGTGTGTATACAATGTGCAGGCACTTAGAGAAAGGGAGTGAGGGGGAACAAGAGAATAGATGTAATTGAATATACTCTTCCTTTTTAAACTAGTAAAAAAAACTGATTGAATAAACTTCAAAACTTGATCAGGTATGTATCAACCCTGCAAAAGCTTCCCTTGATGCTGCCTATAGTTTGAGCTTTTCTATGAGTTTAAGAGTCTTGCATAAATAGGTGCCTCTTGCTTATGGTGGATATAGGAGAAAAACGTCTTGAAATGGAGCTGTTGTCTGGGACATAGCAGCCCTAATTGCACCCCTGTGCTGCTGAGCCGACTGGCATTCATGGCTTGCTCTCCTCCTCAGTTATTATTGTGGTAATAATTACATAGGCATTTTAAGGAACATTCAGGTCATCCTTCTATTATTGGCCATAGAAAAATTTCACAGCTTCCAGGATCTTAACCTGTAATATTTAAAGAATTATATATTACTGGTTATAATATTTTTCTGACCCTCAATTTCCTAATCTGTAAAATGAGAACATTAGAATAAATGGTTTCTAAGGCCCACTTATCTTTACATTGAATATAGTTCTCTTTTCTTATCAAATGTAGTAGAGGACACAAATCCTTTTTTATTTTCCACCCTAACTCCAAGATTTTATTCAGTAACTTTGAACTTGAGAAATTTCTGAATCCATTCATTGGCTCCATTAAAATCCTTAGATTTTCCTACTCTCTTTTTCCATTTTCATTATGGGAAATGTATACAGATTTAGAAATCTGAATACCATTATCATCAAAAGGTATTTAAATACCTCTTTATGTACTCTTATCCCGGGCACTTTGGGGAGTTAAAAGTCTAAAACAAGCTTTATGGATACAGATAAACATGTAGAAGACATAGGAAATAGAATAAAAGCATTAGGAAGTGTTTGCTGGATATACATGACTAATAAGTATACTTTCTGTTTGTGAAAAAAGTATAACAGGACCTTTGAGATGTTGATTTATTTGTGTTAAGGAAAGTCTGTTAATAAATCATTGGATAAGTAAGTCTCTTGGATGAACTTACCCACCACAGGAGTCAAGCTTCAAGAAAGCCTGAATGAATGACTTAGCACCATTGCAGACTTGAGCAAGCCGTTTCATTTTTGTTCTCAGATTCTCCAATTTAAGAAAGAGAAAATTGAGCTATCTGTAATTAGAAATAGACAGTATTCTTATATGCTTTCAGCATATATGCTTTAAGCACCAACTTTAAGACACCAGCTACTCTGAGAGATACCAAGATGAGTGAGAAAATGCATCTGTACTCATGAAGCCCTCTACTACAGGAGATGCAATGTATGTGAGCAATTAAAATAGTAGGCAAGATGTAAAGGTTGAAACTTCAATGAAGGGGCAATCACATTCAATTTGGTATTTAGAAAATATTTCATAGATGGGGTAGGTTTTGACCTGGGCTATAAAGTAAGGGTTGGATTTAGGGACATTATTGAGGAACTGGGTGGATATATAAGAAGAGAATGCAATGTCCTAATGTGTTCAGTTTAAGTGTCTTAATAGAGGTAGTGTAGGGAAAATAATTAATATGCAAGCTGGTTTTGACATTAACTGTGAATTCCCTTTACAACCTGAGGATGTATATTTCCCTCAGGTTGTCAAAGGAATACTTAAGAAGTGTGAGATCCATGAATTCACAGCATTCATACTTCATTCTAGCTACTTATCCTTTGACTTTCTAATCAAGCAAGTTTGAGATTAGGCAAAAAACTTTCAGTTTCCTCATTGTTAAATAAGCCTCTCTGTCAATGATTTAAAAGTGGAGAACAACAATACTCATTCAGAAATTATTGGCCAAGAAGATGAAACCTTTTTTGGCATCTGGGAACCATCAGACTGCACCAAGAATAAGATCTGGACTTTAAATTTGAATGTCAGTTTGTGCTCATCACTT